TGTTGTTCCATTCGCTTCCCATTCTCTTGCATCTAGTCTCTTTAGTGCGCGTCTCTTTTTTGCGCGCCAAAAAGAGAAAAAAACGTTGCTTAATCTGAAAACAATAAATGCGCACAACTTCAAATATGTTGACTAGCAATTTCCACATGCGATTCGGTGTGATGGTGTGTCGTCATTTTTTTTCCAATTGTGATTTTATCTTGTGGCAGCAAAAATCGACGCGCAAAACAGCGAGAGTGTAGAGAAAATACGCGGCAAAAATACAGCATTTGTTTCATGCTGTAAATGGAATTTCAAACAACAGCATCAGCAACAACAGCAGAAGCACAGCAGCAGTGGAAACATCATGTTAAGTCCTGTATAAAATGGTCATTGTGAAGGTTTTGTGATTCAATAAAATGCCAATGTCGCAATTGATTTTCTTGTCAAACTCAACTGAGCGGCGATCAAAAGAGGATTGTTGAAGTCTATTGAATTCACATCGTTGTGAAGTAAATAACCATTGATCCATGATACACTTTTGATTAATCCCGCTTCAGTGTGGACGCGGGCGCACACAAATACCAAATTCCATCGCGTAATGTAATGCCGATCCAACTGACGGAACACATCTTTTCATTCTCTATTCAAAGAGCAAAAGCACACCAAATAAAATAAAAAACGAAATAATTAAATCAATGCGACACACCGGTTGATATTCTCGTTGCGTAAACTACATGAGCGCTTACTTTTTATCTGGAAATAAATAAATAAAAAAAAGCAATCGTTCTCTTTCCCCTCGCAAAGACGCTGACGTGTCTTGCATTTATTTCACGCAGCAATAAAACGTAATAAAATGCTCTCCAAATGGCGTTACCATTTTAAATAACTTCATAGAAACTGGCGGTGTTGCAAATGAAACTGCAAATGTATGGTACGTACGTATATATTTGGAGAGGATTTAAAAAACCAAAGTCACCATATGGAGCGGTGAATTTATTCAAGCATTTAATGCCTCTTACAATTTACCTGTCTTGCATACAGATCTCACATCTTTTCACTCACTCCTCGCTCTCTTGCTCTCTCTCTCTCTCTCTCTCTCTCGCTCGCTTTCAATCCATCTGCCCGGCTCTATTCCACTGGGTTTATGCCGCCATTGCTGATGCTACACCTCAGATCAACCGAATTCGATCCGGGTCTTTCGTTTTATTTAAAATGTCCCATTTCGAAATTCGTTTACCCACTACAACTGCATGTTAAATCGTTAAATTTTTTCGAATGGTATGGGAGAAAAGGAAAATTTTCGTCTTAGTTTTTGTTACTGTCGTTGTTATTGCTACTCATGTTGAGTGAACTAAAGGAGATGAAGACGACGATTACGACGAAAAAAATGTGCGCTGCAAACGCTTTTTAATACACAATAATAAATGTTCTTTGTTAAACCCGGGCCTTAAAACTTGATAAATGCCATCGAGAAATATTAATAACTTCTAAGTGCTCACAGCCACAATTCCCAGTTAATATTTATCCAACGGATATTCGAATGAGCGCTGCTTTGATCCGACCGACGACGACAACAACAGCAGCAGCATGAGTAACGGCATCATCATGTTGTTTCATCGCGGCTGCGATATGTGAGTTTTATGTGTGCGCGATGGCAAAAACAGACGAAAGGTGAATTTAGGCCGCAAAACGGTAACAACCGTCTGGAATTGTCACATCATACAAATGCACGAAAGATAAACTCATTTAATTTGGGAATGTATGTCGAGTCATTTTTGAACATTCCTTTCGTACAACGTATACATAGTGTACACATCTATATACATTATACACTCGTATGTGCTTAAACGATCGGATTCCGCTGTTCAGTGTCAACAGAAGCGCGCCGATTGATTTCAATATTTGTTGGCAAACCATTAACCCGTTAGAATGTGTTTCATTCATTCGCATTTTGCAGGGCGGGGAGGTTTCGTATCCAATGCGACTGAACGAATATGCAAATATTTGGGATTTTGGCATTCTAAATGAATAAACAGTTGAAATGCATTGCATAGCATAAATGGTCAAATATGCGTAAAATCATGCGTTTCAAATGTGAATGTAGTGCTCTAAACTATTTCAATGAATTTGGCCGCCGAATGGCTCAAGGAAATTATCACTCTCAAAGCTTTCTGCGTTCAATTATTACGAAAGTTTATGTATGAGCTGCACTCATGCGAAAACGCAAAATCCGAGACGAGAAGCAGCGAAAAAAAATTATTATTTCAAAAACATTTCACGCGTGGCACAAGAGCAAACAGAACGATGTAAAACGATTGTAAAATCAACACTGCAGTCATTTGAATCATTTTCGCAATTTTAACTATTTCACTGGGTTTCGTTCACACATACACATAAACAGAGACATAGTGATAGAGCGAATGAGACACAACGGTGCAGCAACGAATACATCTGTTATGTAAATGAGGTTTATTTGTGGCGCTCATTATGTCATGCTCATGAACAAATTACAAATGATGCACAATACTTTGTAGCGCTGGCTTCATTTCTCTCTATCTAGTTCGCTCACTGTCTGTGTGTTTGCATTGCATTTTGCCATACCACATGAATTGCAAATAATACCGAAAACAAAATGCAAAATTCGTCCAAACACACACATACGCATAGTATACACAATCCTATTCTTTCAAGATTCGGCTATTTGATTTGGTTGCATTCAGGTCACCAAAGAGTGCCATTATTGTGTGGCGTAAAGCTCAAATCATCAGCTCAGCGAAATTGAGATCGTACAATATGCAAACTTTTCAATTGAATCGGTTCTAGAATGACCGTTTGAAAATAGAAAAAAAAGCGGACAGAAAAGAGAGAGAGAGAGAGTAGTCGTTTTTCATGATGCTTGCAAAAAAGTTTACTGGCAATGGTAACTACCAAACGATGATGATTGTGGCGGTGGCGGTGGTGGTGGTGTGTTGTGTGCTTTGTGCTGTGCATGCCATGAGTGCATCTGAATTTTTCACAAATATTTGCAGTCACATCTGAACCTTGGATAATATTCAATAGCAAATGCGTTCAACTTGATCCCAACGATTGCATTCGACAGGGAAATTTATTTATACGAATATGTATATTTGTTTTTGGTGTGCTCTCCGCTGCTTTTTGTGTTTATATTTCTGGCATTTAACAACTGAACCACGAAAACCTCCTCCGACAAAATACTTTTGGCAACAAATCCATTATCAGACTCAATTGCATACATTTTTCCATTTGTCACACAACGGCAAATTCCAAAAGCGAAATATTAATAAAGAGCTTTTTGCCCATATTCAACGCAAGGATTTGCATTTCCTTTGCTCGTCGACCAAACAATAGAAAATTAAAATGAAATTAGTGTACATTGTGAGTTCATATTCAAGTTGTTGTTGCTGTTGTTTTTTCTTGTTCCACTTTTTTAGGGTATTCATATTGCGTTCATTGAAAATTTCAATAAGCGATGAGCAGAGGGAAAAAGAGACCGAAAAAAAATGGAATGCAATTTCTTGGCGCAGACATTTTAGTACACTGAGAAAAGGCTGGAAGGAAATATTCCAACTCTGCGTTGGAAATGTTGTAATTGCTGATGATTTTGTGAATTGTCCAACCATGGTTGGAATTTGACAAGTGCGAAAATGCTATCAATATTCCAACCATGGTTGGATAATTCACAAAATCATCTGCAATTACAACATTTACAACCCCAGGGTTGGAATATTTCCTTCCAGCCTTTTCTCAGTGTATGTGCTCAGCGTATTTCTACGTATTTTTGTTCATTGCTGTTGTTGTTGTTAATTTGCCAAAATGAGTCTATGCGAAACAAACATACGGATGAGTAGCAAGTGAAATTGTCGCCACGCCAATGGAAATTGCTTGCCATAAGAAATGTATAAAATCTTTTGGTTGTTCCAAGGAAATGAAAACTGATTATGGCATTCAGTTGGGAATTGAATGCCTGGCATTTTTTTTTCATATGCTGAGCAACCAATTCCATTTTCTCGCAGATGTGCTAAACAATTGTTCAGTCTCTGCGTGAATTTTCACGTACGACATACCAATATGTTTGGTGCATTTTGCATTTGGATCACGGTATAACCGTAATACACCAAGATCCTCTGTATTCGATTAATATTACCAAACAAAAAAACACAGTTTTTTCTCTCTCATTCATTTCTTTTCGGTTTAGTTGCACTGTGTGTTTGAGCGCGTACAAAGAACGATATACGATGCAATACTCTTTGCACATCCGTATGCAATGGCTGAGATGGTGGCTACATTCGGAATTTATGTCGACATCGTGAATTAGAACGCAAACCAAATTGCAATACTCCCCATTTGCATCCTATGCAAATAATTGCGTCGAGAACAAAGAATTCGCTCAAAAAGTTAATACAAAAAACTTACACATTTTCGCTATTTGTTTTCTTTAAATTCAACAAATAAAAAAACTCGAGGCCACGAGAGAGAAGGAGAACGACCGTGAGAGAGAAATAAGCCCGCATTGGCGTGTTCTTGGTGAATTCAATTTTTTTCATTCGCTTCATATTCGTACATCTTTCACATTTAATCAAAGAATGCTGATGTATATGATACATCGTCGTCGTCGTCGTCGTCTTCGTCGTTCATCGTTTGGAACATCATCAGCACGACGGTGTATTCACTTGGCAAATCATCATACCGGCAAAAAAACGTCCAACATTTTGGAAAATCATACCAAGAGATAGAGACACATACACGTACGGATACAGAGAGAGAATGAAATTAATGATTCATCTCGCTCGAATAAAATAATTGGTGTAGTTGACGGTTGTGGCGGTGCCAGAAGAGAGAACAAAAAAAAATGGATTCTCTTAATCGCTCGACGAAATAAACAGAAAATTCATTATGCCGCACAATTGTGCGAAATAAATTAAGTGTAAAGTTCAGAAACTAATGATGCCAATGCCGACGACGCCGTTGGCGCACAACATTCACATTCTGGAAAAGTTATGCATCAGCATTTTCAAACTTCAAGCTTCGTTTACTCGCAACCCATCCGTAAGCACTTTAACTCTCTCTCTCTCTCTCTCTCTCTCTCTCTCTCTCTCTCTCTCTCTCACTCGCTGTGTATGTGAAGCATAGAATAAAAGTTGATGCGAATAGAAATTTTTTGTTTTCATCCCTACAAATTTGTGGTAAACTAAACGACTTTATATCGATCTATCAAACAAATGCACTAGAAGAACCGAACAAGGGTTCAATACAAAACAGTGCACGCGCGCGTGTGCAAAATATTCACGTCAATTTGATGTTAGCAGTTTATCGATAAAATTCGTATGCAAGCCTGACACGAGCACATGATTCGACGGCAATTTGGGTCGGGATTATTTCATTTTAATCGAGTTTTCAGTTAAATATTGTGCACGAATTGCATTGAAACCACCGACAAATGATTTCATTTTGACGTGCTGCTACAGTTTTGATTGAATCACACACGATTGCCATTCAATGCGAGTACAAATTTCGAATTTTAACTTTCAATTATAATTACGGCTGAAAATTGCACAATAAATGGATCAATTTCATTCGTTTTGATTGGGTTTTTCGGTTGTTATCGAATGAAAATGGATTTTCACAAAACAACATTTCGAATCTCAAGGCGAACAAAAAAAAATGATGGAAAAAATGTTAATTGTCCGCTTTTTTCTCTCTCTCTCTCTCTCTCTCTCTCTCTGTTTGCAGATATTCCGGCTGATGACATTTTGGAGTTGTTTGGTAAAACATTTTTTGAATTTTGCCAGGATTCTGGATACGATAAAATCTTGCAAGTGCTCGGTGCCACTCCACGAGATTTTTTACAGGTAAAGTCAAATACACAAACACACACACACATCAATTCAATTTTACCTTGGCATCAATTCACGTCAAATGGAAATCGATAGATTGACAATGTTCGTAATGCTGTGCCTGTGCCATCGCACAATTTCCATGTCAACGATGAAAACCACTGCTAATGACATACGAGCACACTGTGTATATGTGTTTAGTTAGTGCGGCTAGTGTTGATGCTATGGCATTTTTCTTCCATACGAAAATTATTCCAAAGAGTTTATCCGACATTTGACGAGCTAAAAACTAGTACTTTTCCGCAACAGAAGCAGCAGCACCAATAGCACACCAATAAAGATGGTAGACTTTTGTGAAAAGTTTTGTGCAAGTGAAAACGAATTACAACAACATTCAAACAAAAACAATCTGTTGAAATCCTGTTTGTTGTTATTACGCCTTGAACAACTTATTACATACCTCGAGCCCCGTCATCCCCCCCCCCCTCACATACACACAGTATGGCCAAGTTTTGGTGGCATGAGTAAGATAACGAATGTGGATGGCGCAAGTGAGATGCATCTCGATCCGTTATAATCGAATCAAATGAAACCATTTAATGGTTTTATTAACAGCAAACTGTGAGATGGCACAGTGGATGTCAGTCATTAAAGTTGCTGATTCCACTGTTGCTGCTACAATATTTCCACGAAACTTTGTCAATCATTTCGATCTTTGAGGATTGCGTCTGTATGAATGTGTGTGTGTGTAAGCAACGTTCGGTTCCGTTCAGATTAATTAAGTTTGAGCAAAAGCTGCTTAAAATACCGACTGTTTAACCGAAACATGTTGCGTAGGTTTTAATGAGTAATTCTTTCAATATAGTATGGATATTCTTTTCTCCTCTTTCTCTGTGTGAGTGCGTACGTGGAACTTTCATTCCACGTGGGTTTTTATTTTCTCAATTTTGTTCGTCATTCTATTTTTGGATCGATTCAGTTTCTTCTTTCTGACTCTTTGGTATTGCCTCATATAAATTAGTATTCGTTTCCTTACATTTCGAAGTATTCGCCTCCTTTGTAAAGGTCCTTCTTAATGAAAAAAAAAATCCCTTTTAAATCCGTTCCATCTGAAATCCAAAGAAAATTTTAAAAAATAAATTTCCAACAGCTTTTACACTTCCGACCAAACTAGTTTTTTCATTCAATCAGTACTTGGTGTGGAATAGAAATAATAGAGTTTTTACAGCTTTTTTCGATGATTTACGTTTGAAACGTGTGATTTACGGATTGAAAATCAATGATTTTTTGTGTTTGTTTCACTTTTTTAAAATGCATAATTTGGACGCTTTACATGACCACCTCGGTACACTGTATCCGGGTATGCGAGCCCCATCGTTTCGTTGCACGGAAGAGAGTGATGGTTCCTTAATTTTACATTACTATTCCGATCGGCCGGGACTGGAACACATTGTGATAGGTATCGTTAAGGTGAGTACAGATAAAATGCCATTTGGCCAATCAATTTGTTAACACCAAACAAAACCAAAAGAACAAACAAAAAATGAATAGATGAAAAGTATAAAACAAAAAGGGAAAGGAATATGCTGGTATAACATTGGTATCGTTAATCATTTTTTACGATTACCGACCATTTCGTAACTGACATAGCAATATAATGATTCCGTAAATCATACTCTTTATTCCGAAAATTGCTGTTTGTGTTCCAATAATTGCTTGCTTTGTTTCGTGTTTCAATTAACATTTCTGCGTTCGCCTAGTGTATTTTCGTGTGTTTTTTTTTGCTTTTACTGCCATTTGTTCGGACGTTTTTATTGTCTCTCACCCGTCTCAATGTTAATGGTAATATTTTTCTTTCTTTACGATACGGATACTGTCACTATTCCCGCCGCTTTTTTTGTCCTCGTTTCGACCTAATTACATTGCGTGTCGATGATAGTCGGTTGCGTCAAAATTGCATGGTGTCGAAGTCGAAATCAAAGTGGTCAAACGAAAAGGTGAACCGCTGAACGATGATGAATCAACGAATCCACCAACAACCGAAATAAGCACACAGTCCGTGTCACATGCCACAACGTCGACGAACGACACAGTGTGCCCCCATCAACAGCAGCAGCAGCAGCAGCAGGAGCAGCAACCAAAATCCAACGATTCACACAAAAAAAATGGAAAAGTATTGAATAATTTATCCGCATGCGAAAATTGCTGTACAAAATCTAGTAGTAACACAAATTTGAGCTGTAAAGGTAAGAGCAACCGAATAAACGTATAGCCACAAAACACACACACATATACCAATTTGAGTGTACTGTGTATAGTGAAACCTTCCTATTCCTTAGAAAAATAGTTCGGTTAATGTGTTTTTGATTTATTTATTATTTATCCGCATTTATGATGGAATTTGCTAGTGTGTTGAACGGCGCTGAATCGATAAGGTCAACGATTTTCACGAATTGTATAGATTAGTGGTGACGGCATGGCTTTTGACAATTGAATCCGTGAGCATAAAAACGACTTATTAAACAATCGCCGAACAAAACGATACAAGAAAAAACTACCAAACAAAACACACGTTAAAAATATAGCTGTGCTCACGATTTTTTTTTATCAAGATATCGTAATAAACTAAAAATATCGTTCGATATCGTTATTATGATGGAATCTTAATAACGCTATCAACTTTTTATCAGGTTATTAACTATATTCAAATAATAACGTTATCAGATGAATCTTAATAATATCGTTTTGAAGTTATTAAGATCGAATCCTGATAGTTTAACAACATTCAATCTTAATAATCATCAAGTTCTGGAAGTGGGTTTGGGTGGATCCTCAGGATGGACCACTCCTTCTCTGGTCCCATAATGATACTTCTTGCTGTTGATTGTGAAATTCATCTGTGAGATGGAAACAAAAATCGAACAATAAAATTTAAACAATGCATTCAATCGCTAACATACCTCTTTGCAATTATGAATTCGCTCTTTGTCATTATTAATCCGTCGCCTAACGGTTGCATTCCACGTCTTCATGCCCCAATCAATGCCCAATTCATAGACATAGAAGCCATCAGAGTACCGTTTACGCACCAACCAATCTTCCACTAACTTGCCGACTACGGTTTTCTTCACTGTGTACAGAATTGATGCCGATACACCATCGCTGAGAATATGTTCGAATTTTTTGTTTGTTTTCAACACTCGATTGATTTTCTCCATGTTAAATATCATATTGAAATAATATGCTTGATTTGATTTTGACGTGACGTGGCCCACTGTATGTTGCCGACCATATTCATCACGCGGAATGGTACCGTTTTCCCACATCATACGATACAAAACATCAGCGTCTATCCTCACTGCCTTTCGCGTGTGATGACAGATTGGGATGACCACCAAATTCTTGATGTTTGGCAACGCAATGACTTGCACGATGTTGTCGTGGTGTTGTTCAACCCAGTTGAGGTGCGTTTCGATTTCTGATTGCATGATCAACCACATTGGCAATGATGCAAACCATGTATCTTCGTCTTTGGTGAATTTGGCGATATCATCGTCAGCCGGTCCGCGAATGTCTCGAACATAAAGCAGCAATCGATCTCGTTTGGCCAAGCGATCCGCATCACCTCTCGTTCATCGTATGTGTCCGGTAGGCCACGAATCTGGTTATTGTAGTTCTGTCTGAATGCCTTCAATCTCAAGAAATACCGCAATCGTTTCTGTGCATGTGTATCCAAATTCGTCTTCACATTACGGCCATATTGTTGGAACAAATATTTCATCAAGTTACCGAAGTAATTATTGTTTGGCCATGTGGAGCGATTCTCGGTGTCCACATTCTCAAAGCAATGCCGGAACCATGGATCCATAATGAAATCGTCTTCCTTGTAGCGCCGCAACACTATGTAGCGCAATGATGGCCTGTTCAGTGGCAGCTCTGACTTTGTTGAGGAATAAAAGCGACGCCAATTCAGATATTTCGGTGCATTTTATGCTGGTTTTTGTGATCCATGGCAGAACACGATCACGATATTCCGGTCGAACAATACTAGCGGCGGCCAACTTGATGGCAAAGTATGCTTGCTCCTCCTTTTGCTTGCCATCTACAACTTTCCGCGGTTTCGGCCTATTGCCACGAATGGCATGTGCCCCTATCCTTTTTCTGCCCATAATTGAACCCTGAAAAAATAGAATGAAAACACAAAAATTACTTTAGAACGCACTAGAAATGATTTTTTGTTGCTTCTAAATTACTTAATTTGAACGAAAAACGAAAAAAAACAATCACTGTAAATCGAACAGTATTCACAACAAATGACTTGCCTTTCCAAATGCTCAGATCAATGTGAATGTGCAACCGGCATCAGTTTGACACATGAATGCTGAATTTGGTTGTGACACAAACACCGCACACCGTGATAAAATATCGAAACGCTCACGATATTTCGACAGCAGATTTCTTCCACAGGCTACGGATCAAAACTGTAAACAAACAAAAAAACACACAACAATCGATGGTTTGTTGATTTCGAAAATCACATGCACACGGTGGTATTGTTTGGTTCAATCACTCGTTCGATGTCACAACGATAACAATTCAAATGACTTACCCTTTTTCCCTTTTGCTGGCTGTTCAATATGAATTTAGTCGAACGGAGCAAAGATTCATATGAATGCATATCTCGCGTCCCATGTCAATTGAAATCCTCCTAATAAAACTTCCAACAGATCATTCGATCCATAAGCCTCCACTTCTAATTTGTCACACAAATCGATAAATTTAATGAATAGGCATGAACGAAATGACATTGTTTGTCCAATAAATATACAAGTAGAAGGAAAAATTGCCGTTGTTTATCGAAAAACTTCGTTTTTGTATAAAGCGGCGTTTTGCGTCCGTCGCAACCACTTTGTGTGCGAAAAAAAAAACTTTGGATGTGGCACGCATGGGCAGAGCAGAACAATTTGATAAACTTGCTCGGTTCAGGCGAAGCGTAAGAAGAAGAAGGAACTATTTGCCATGGGAATGTATCAAATGTTATACAAGCGGCATCAGGCGATGTTAACACAATTATGAACATTGTATCATAATCGTATGAAATACTGAATTAGCTTCACTCACGAAAGAGATCTTGATATTCAATAAATCAACCACTTGACATGATAATGCCCACGATTCAATAGAATGCTTTTGCTGGAAATGAATGCTACAAATAGAAAATGTGTATTCAATTATTGTAATGTGCATCCGAGTCATGATTGCACAGCTTTCCATACAATATATATTGAATGAATCATTTCAACGCGTTTTACCTCGCCGTTTTTCCGCAGATAATATTTTAATTTCTTTTTTTTTTCTCCGAAATTGTACAGAATCAATCAAGATGTATTGTTGAAATTTCTTCCTCCGATTTTTCTTCGTTCTCTATTTTATCATTTTATTCCGATAAAAGCAATCGTATTGCTCGTCGACGATATAAAAAATGGATTATTTTCACCTACTCTCTCGGTTCCAAACATGTGTTTCAAGATTGCTGAGCATCTCAGCATTTCGTAAGGCACGGATATATCCGAGCATATCGACGACGCATACAGTGGCGTGCGTTGCTACGCGCAGCCGCAACGACTCGACCGGAATGTGTATGTTGTTGCTGCGTGCAGCCACATCAACTGAACACACTTCGGTAGTCGTTGCGGCTGCACGTAGCAACACCCGCCACTGTATTACATATACAGTATGCGTCGTCGATATGCTCGGATATATCCGTGCCCTACGAAATGCTGAGATGCTCAGCAATCTTAAAACACATGTTTGCTCGGTTCGTGGGAAAAATGGAAATCCAATTTCGATGCTATGCACATTGCACAGACACACGCGCACACATTCGAACAACTGGACAACTTTAACAGTCGTTATAATGCAATGTTTACACATATAATGTCATAGAATGATAATATTTCTCTTTTTTTTGTGTCTCCGCGTGCGTGCAATGACAATGTACATCGAAAAATCCACTGAACCATTTCGAGTGCAAAAGCGAAAAAATGCAATTTTATTTGTTCGCTCGAATGCACTCGAGTGCTTATGAGTCATGCAGCGTATTGTCACGATCCGGAAAATACAACACCTTTTTTGTTCGTTTGTTCGATCGAAACCGATTCAGCGCGAGTGCAATTTGCATTTGCGAAACGAAGAAATCCGCTTTTTCGATATTATTAAACAAATTGCGCACGACAAATTCATCGAATGATTGCAACATGATTTCGTTAAAAGAAAATCGTTTTCATTTCAACCATTTTGTTTTCCGTTTCGATTTTTCCCATTTAGCCATAGCTGTAGTACTTTTCATATACTTTTAAGATATTCATGAAGAAGATAACTGAAACTCAATTAATGCCCCCAATATCTTTGTCTGTTTCTATATTTTTCCATCTATTTTCCCCTTTTTTGTCAATATTTTCTCGATGATCATCTTTTAGAACCGAAACATACGTCTAGATATGGACCGTTTGGGCCATTTGTGAAATGTATAAATAATTTAGAATCGAAATATTTAGGTGAAAAATTAGCGCGTCATCATGGCAGTCTCGAAAGTTTGGAGCGTCCAAAATGCGAAGCAATCATACCGCCACTGAAGCCACGAAAGAAAGAGATCGAACTATCTGATCACATTCAATTCTTGATAACGGAGAAATCAGCGCCGCAAACATCGAGTTTGGTTGACGTTTCCCGTGAGGCAATCGATGAAGGCGATATACTTTCTGAAGGTAAATTTGTCGTTTTTTTTCGTTGGTTTTTCTTTTTTTTTCTGGTTTCTAACTAAAGCAACGACACACAAACACACATTAATTTCTTGTGTATAACTTATCTGTGTGTGTGTGTGTCGATTCAATCGAAAATGCTTTTTGAAAGTTACAACGTCAACGTGATTTTGCTAATAAGTTGTCGAGTTTTATTTGAGTTTTTTCTCTCCCCTCTTTCTTTTTCGTTCATTCCGCAATCGAAAAAGAATGAAAGAATAAAAAAAACCCTGTAATTGCCGGGATGCATAGCATTGAAGAGTAAAAGTTTATTTACAGTGAACGAATGAAATACGTTTTGAATACATACGTTCTTCATTTTCGTTCGTTGAATGCTCAAGTTCATTTTGAATGGATTTTTGAATCACTTTCAATTGAATTTATGTCGTCTGATGTTACCTCAATGAAAGAGAAAGACCCTTTCACATTTTAACGAATCAACAGAAGGAGAGCGAGATGCGTTGAAGAATCGTAAACTTATTATATACACACACACATACACACACACACACAATATTAAATATTAGTCCAATCTGAAAGGTTCCAGCAATATATGTAATATTTTCGAATAGCGTCTGTGTGCGTGTTTTTGGAAGTTGTCTAAAAGCGCAACATTTTTATTCATTTTTGGCTCTTCGTTTTTTATTCTGAAAAGTTTGCGTCAATTGAGTGACAAATTGAAAGGACTTGAATGGCTTTCAAATGTGGCTTCTAGTCTGATATACAAGATACGAGATTTAATAATTGATCAATGCGTTCGAGTAAATAACGAGGAACGATTGCAGTTTTCAACGAAACATTAAATTAATGCAATGAATAGATTCGAGTTGCTACTTTCAAGCATGTTGTCTGGTATGCACAAACAGTTTCACAACATTTTGATAGCAATCGGAAGTGACTTCCGATTTGAATATAGTTGATATCAGCTCATAAATTGCAATCATGCTCTTCATCGATTCACTTCAAAACTTTTGTCACATTCTTCAGAAGAAATAAGTATTGTTGTCTAAATTGTTGGCACACAAAAAAAAACGACCAACCGATGCCATGTTTCAATTTGCATGCAGAAAAGTTTCATTACAATTGCCATTATTAGCATGAACAGATCCACTGCAATTTGTCCATTTCCAACCAGGTCAAAATAATCCCATTTGCTGGTTGTTGTTTTTTTCTTCATTGTTCCACCTAATTGGGATTCACGTGTGATCACCAGAGTGAAATGGCTCTCACAATCAACACGTTTTGATTCGTTTTCAGTCGCAAAATAGCATCTTGCAGACGAACACGTAAGCGTTATGCAAAGTAGGAAAAGCCCCCAAGGATTCAGTACTCCGGCTGAGTCTGTGCTTGTGTGTAACATTGGTTTTGCAGTCTGCAGTACATTTACACACTTGCAAAATATGTATGCTGTGTCATTGGTGCTGAACGTAAAACGTTCAGTTTATGCTCAATTAAATTCTTGCTTTTTCATCTGCTTTATCCGTTAGTTTAAAGCACGATTCTATCTCATCTCTAGCATCTCTTGCACACCTTCAACGTGGTTGAAAAAAAATCGTTACACACACACTCACAACAAGATTAAGTGGCTAAAGCGCATTTACCGTGCAGCAGGTTCTCCGGCTGATATTTGTTTTTGCTTGCTTGCCTACGCCTCCTTGCTCACGCGAAATTAACAAGTCTACGATAAATATCTCGTTTAGCTTCTTCGTTTTGTGTTTCATCTTGAATGCATTCAACTGTTTTTTGTTGCGCTCTCTTCTTATCGTAATAGGATTTGAATCGATAATGATGCAAACGTAGTGGCAGCAAGCTTGGCATACTGCACACGTGCTCACAATACGGAATGTGCTTACCATTATAGAGCGGATTGAACAATATTTCGTCATCAAAGCAGACGATTCGGTCTTTTTTCCCTGTGTCCACCGAAGCAAACTGCCACACTTTGAGACATTGGCTGCACAGATCTCCCAATGCGATAACGTCAACTCGAAAATTTACTAGCATTTCTATTCTCTATAGAACTATTCCAAAGTCACGTTTCAAATCAAAACTTCATTCGATGGTGTGTACACTAAACACACACACACTATTTCTCTCATTCGATCCCACTCCACCATTTGGATATCGGTCGTTTTGCTGCTTTCATCATCATCTCATTATTTATTCTATATATTTTTCAATTTGATGAGGAAACTAGAAAATGCTTTCTCTTCATCTTCTTCACGATGATACGGAGTATGTGCTCACACATACATCCACACAACAACACCTTAAAAACCATGACGTATCTGCGATCGTACGTACATGTGTGTGTGTGTGTGTGTGTGTGTGTGTGTGTGTACGCGTCTGTGAAAATGTGAAAAGTGTGAGATGCATCTAAAGTTACCTAAACCCATTTCAATATCCACCGAGTTCTATTTTTTCGTTTGTTTGCTATATTTTTACTCGCTTTGGAGTTACAAACGTGCATAAAAATCAGGAGTGCAGTTCATTCGCAACGCTTTCGTATTATCTGTCGAAGAGTTGAATGCGATGCGCTTAGCCATGGTTGATTATCTGCTGCGTACTTTTCTCCACTCATACTCCTTCACTCTCCCACTTCGTTTGGTATAGCTTTAGAATCTAAAGTTTAGATGCTTTCTTTTCATTGCTAATATGAAATGAGGTTTTCCTTTTCTTCGCATTCATTCCTTTTTCGAGATTCAATGCTAACTATGTCCTTATATGGAAACGCGATACGCGGTAAGAAGTGCGGTGTGCATTCGTTTCTATGATTCATTTTTTTTCATTCTCGTTTCAAATGTCTGTTTCATTGAACATGTTTCTTATAGATTCGACGATGGTGTACTGATATGTGCTTATTTGTGAGTGCGTCGAGTTTTTTTTTCTCGTTTTTTGTCATTGATTCGAGTACGTGGTGTTACGCTTTCTTATTATTTGCTTATAAATAATTCGTGGTACAGCTGTTTCGAGGCGCATTTCAGCTCAACGGAGGTCAGCTACTGAACGCGATCTCAACCACGAGGACCGTATCGTTCATGCACTATTGAGCACCCAATGTGCGAATTGCAATCAGACTCGAGCCACGATAACCAAAACAACAGCGCAAATAAGAGATGATGAGAGAGAGAGAAAAAACACATTAAAAACACCGAAAGAAAAGAACTAATATAAAAGCACATTGAAATGATATGACATTAATGCGACTGCATGGAATTCACCGGTTTTATACTGTCCCCACCCTCTCGTCTGCACCTTTATTCGGATGCCGGCAAATAAATATAGATTTTGCACTGGTTTGCACTCGGTTGATTCAGTTTATTTGCTTTGTCATTAAATTCCGGAATGGAATTGATCCGATCATAATCCATCTGGATGGAAAATACCTTTCACAATCGAATAGCTTTCTCTTCGATTTCGCATTTCATAATATTATTGAATTGATGGGACTTTTCTCCCTCACCAGAATAAGAATATTCCCCATCGATATTTTCATCTTGAGCATTTTCTCCAGATACCAATACATCCTATCTATTATAATAGATTTTATATTCATTGAAATTGTACTGTGTTATATGACGCTTTTTAACATTCGCTTATTTTCTCTACCTTTTTCTAATTTTTTTTTTCTTTTCTATTTTTTTTTTCTGGAAATTCGAAACGTTCTTCGTGATTGTTTGGCGCGCGTACTTATTCACTCGCTTGCACAACACCATTCCACGACATGCACACAGAGAGCTTAATATCGACCGAAACGTTCTGTAGAATATTTCCGTTTCATGTGATGTTTGATAGACATATGCAAATAGTTCAAGTTGGAAAATCCGTTTCGAGAATCATTCCGAGGTAAGTGTTAGACAAACATTTGTGTTCATTGCAATTTTCGCATTTGATTTCATTTTCGGTGCTTTAAAAACGAGTCAACATTGCATCGTTGGTTCGCTTTTAAACACAATCGCTATGAATAGGGAAAGAGAGCGAGAGCGAGAGCGAGAGCGTGAGTATGAGGAATGCAAATAATCTGCTTTGTTTGATTTTGGCTTCGGCGATTTTGGATTTCGCACATACACTTACGTTGTGAATCAAAATCGATGGCTGACGATGTGAACAGAGATGCGGAGTTATGGTGAGATCGAACTCAAAATACACGAATCGATAAAAGTTCAAAGCTCTGTTTCTCTCACTTACCAATTTCGTTCACATTCTATCTCTCTCTCTCTCTCTCGCTCTCTCACTCGTTCATCCGCTCGATGCGATGTGTACCTAAATAGATCTGGTGCGCTCAAGGGAAAATTTAATCTTTCGCTTTATTTTACAATAAATTCAATGGGCTGCCATTGTTCGTGCTAGCATTCACGTTTACTGTCATGCTTTCAATTGCAAGTGGAAAAGAAAGAAGAAAAAAAATTATTACTGACATCATGTAATATAATGTATATGTTATTTCTTTCTTCTCTCGCTCCCTGCCTTCATGTATTGGTATTCTATACCACATTCCGCAAATCAAACAATCTGATTCCATAGGCTAACCGAAACGAACAGTCTGCTGAACGATGTATTGGAGGCGGTACGGCCACACGTGAACCTCACATTTGATAATATTTTAGCACACATCAATACGATTTATGTATTAAAAACGAAAAGCGGTGCGTTAGCTGGACAAGGTTATTTACGACTCAAGGTAAGCGAATTTCAGTCCAATTCCGGTACAAAACATAAACACAAACACACACATTTGGCTCTGAAAACAAATACACACTCGTATAAACATTGCATATTGAGAACGGTATCAAAATATTTTGACAGATTTATATATTAAACACAGCCACATGGGTGGTTGTGTTTTGTGTCAATTTTCACGCCAAAATGCTTCGTTTAAAAGGCAACACACGAAATGAAATAAAACACACTTCTTTTCTCGGACATTTTGCACAAAGCGACACTCGTATTCCAACAACACATTCGTGTTCGTTTTCGATTACTTCAATTTAAATGTAAGATTTGACCCACGATACAAACAGGATACCATTATCAATATTCGTTTGCACCAAATGTTTGCCTGTTAGTTCGTTCGTGATCAATATATACTTGATATCGAATGGACTTGAAATATTTTTTTCCCTTCGCATCCATTTTGGCAGCATCAAGACGGTGCTGCCGTTATCAAATATTCACATGTTCATTTTTGTTTCTTCTATTTTTCTCGTTTCATTTTTCTCTCTCATTCATCGATGGCCGTCGTTTTGTTTGACCGAATCGAAAACAGGGTCAAATGCTTTACATAGCCGAAACGGACCTGATATTATTCCAATGTTACCCGAGCGTTATGAACTTAGACGACCTAACAAAGTAAGTTTAATTTGAGAAGAAAAATAAAACCTCAATTTAGAAATTGAGCAACATTTATTCTTGGAACCATGTTCGATCCATCACCAACCAAAAATGGAACAAGTACAATGACAACAGCAACACAACGAAATTCAATTGAACCAATTTTCTGCCATCGTTCTATTCCACTTTAGATGTTTAATTTCCATTTCATGCCATTTGTTCTGTTTTTTTTTTTGCTATCAACGAAACACAGCCAAGAAGAGCATACATGATTTTTTCCATTTTCAGCGCTTTGTTGTCAATCATTTAAGTGAAATCATGCCATTCTTCTCTCTAGCTCTCCGTTTTTTTCGCATCTTCAATAAATAATTCACTACAGACTTAGCGCAAAAGAAGCATCATCGCATGCGTAACAGCTAATACAGAAAGCTTTGTTACAATTGGAATGCAGCAATATGATTCGTTTTCAGTTATATTATTCGAATTGGATTGGCTTTTTTTATTTGACGCAAAAGCGACACAGAGACAGATAGAAAATAGCACATATAGAGAAAACATCAAACGGAACTGATTCGATGTGAGAGTTGAGAATGGATTTTTTGTTGTTGTTACTATCTGCGTCGTTGTTGTTGTTGTTCTTGTTATGAGAGGAAAAAATAATAATAACCTCTGTTTTTTTGCCAATTATTTTGTGAGCAGCGTGCACATATGCAATTTTCTTGAAATTCACTTTCGTACAAGAGTGCATTCATAGTTTTCAAGTAAAATGTGTCTTTTGACAAAAGGTTTAAGTACACCCAATTGTAATGGTTATTCTTTCTACAACTATCTCCAGCTCACTCTCACTCACTCACTCTCTCGTTCACTTGCAATACGATTTTATCTGATGCTGTTGCTACTACTGCAATCATTTCAATTCTCTGCAGTGCCAACCATAATAATTGTCATTTTCTCTTTCACTCTCTCTCTTTCTATGTTTATCTTACGAATTGCTGACGTTGAATAAACAAGTGCTCAAGTGTAAGACCACAAAAATGAAGAAAAAAACAGAATGAAAGCACTTCAGTCTCATACTCACTGTCGTCAAAATTCAGATATATGTTAGCTTGTATCAAATAAAGCAGAGAGAAAGAGAGTGAGTGAGTGAGAGAGAGAGAGAGAGAGAAAAAGAGCTGATAAGAATGCCATCAAACGGAGCAGCGAAGCATCAACATCATGTAAGACATTTTTGAATGTACCATTGCAATTTAATTTGCATGTGAAATTGTAATGGCATTATGTATGTGTGTGTGTGTGTGTGTGTGTGTGTGTGTGTGTGTGTATCTGTCTGGTGCGTTCATTCAATTTCGAGCCTTGTGCGATGCTGGCTTTTGTTTTTCCTTATTTGAGAAATTAATTCGCAAACATACACACACACACACACACACACGAACGAGCAAGCGCGTGTTTTAACTCACAACCACATTTGCACATGCAAGCGTACACGCACAAACACATGCATGTTTGTGACAGTCATATAATTTTCTCATCATCATATTGTCAATGATTATTGTGTTTGTAATTACGGCCAAACATAAAATCATGTTTGAATCCGAATACATGCGTTTTCTTGTATATTCAAAATGCAATTTGCATACATTTCGCGTGCGTCATTGCGATTCGTATTTAAAGTCCCAAGAGTCTGATAAGACCGAAATGTGCGCATCCGATTTTGTCGCACTGAAAACAAACAATGACATGTTACAGATTAAAATGGTGAATATCTCCATCCAGTGTGTGTTTATGTGTGCACACGGTGTTTTTCTTACGGCTTTTGTTTCCTTTGTCTCCGCAACTCATGATGTACAAACGTTTTCAATTAGATCATGATTTGATGTGATCTTATGGTTTTGAACATGGTTCGACATTTTTTCTGCAATTAACCCAGCTTCCGACTTATCTCGATGAACAACGGTTCGTTTATTGCATCTTTTCTCACTCTATGCGGACACTTTTTTTCTCTCCCTCTTTGTCTTTTTATCTGCCCGTGTGAACATCTAGGAAAGGATTGTATATATCTGATGTCCCAATACATGATGCGACCCGGGATTTAGTACTGTTGTCTGAACAATTCGAAGCCGGATACAAATTAACGAGAAATTTAGAAGTGCTTACTGACAAATTACAACAAACTTATCGTGAACTGGAAAGTGAAAAACAAAAAACCGATCGGTAAGTTACAATCGAATGCGCTTGCCTAAGCGGCAAACACACACTAAATTATGCATAGAAACCGTTTCGAGAGAACAGCAGCTTGAAACGAAGCGCTAGTTTGATTGTCAGATTTGTTTTTGTTTTTGTTTCTCTTTGCGCTGTTTTGGCGCCGATAAAATAATTCGTAAAACTTTTCTCCCTCTCTTCAACAGGCTGCTCTACTCCGTGCTTCCCATCACCGTTGCTAACGAACTTAGACATCAAAGGCCCGTCGCACCAAAACGGTATAAATCGGTTTGAATAATTACTTTGCTTTGGCATAAACATATACACAGCGGCCGAGTTTGAGCCGATTTTGAAGGGAAATTCACTGAAAATACTCTCGCTCTCTAATTCATTTACTTGAACAAGTTTGCGATTCTTAACTAACAGCACATGGGGAAACAATTTTTAATGAAAAAGCGCTTAAAATCAACACCGAAATTACCATTATTATGGCACGCTCACAAATAGGCCAAACCATTTGGTTTTTCGTAAGGAGGAAAGGATTCCCGTTCAACGATAAAAGTTTTTTAGTTGATGTTTTTGTTTTGGACATCAATCACTTATCCGTTTACTTTTCCAATAATAATTAATTGCCTTTTGTGTTCGCAGTGCTGAAATGCGATTGAGTCTATTTCGCATATATGATTTCCGAAGCCACGACGATAAACAATGGAAGAAGACAAAAACAAACACGTATCCATGTAATTCCAATGCGTTCCGATAAAGAGAAAAGAAACCGAAATCCTTGTTGTTTTCGTCGCAAAAGTCGATGAAGTGTTTCGCAGCAGGAACCTTTTTATATTTGGTTTTTGTCAATTCATCGTCATCTTTCTTATGACTTCTACTTCCATCCCATTGATATGGGTATAAAATAGGGTGGATCGATCGATTGAACGTCTTTACAGATACATATTACAGATGGCTAGTGCGGAATCGTTAACTTTTGTCCAGAGGAACATTTCTTGCCCTGGAAGTCTTTTTCTGGACCTTCCCTGGCTGAGTGTCTCACATTTTCACAAAAACGTGTAGCGCAGCTCCCCAGGGAAAAACTTCCAGGGCAAGAAATGTTCTTTTGGACCTAGGTTTACAATCCTGCATCAGCCATTATTTATAAAACCGTAAAACTGTTCAATCGAATCACCCTAGTATACCATGCCTATATATAAACAAAAAAATACATCGTTGTTGTATAAGTGTTTTTTCTTCTCTCTCTCTCTCTCTCCCTCTCCCTCTTCCTCTCTCTCTCTCTCTCTCTCTCTCTCTTCTCCATAAGCAATATCGGCTCATAATTCATTTTAAATAATACTTATTCCACCGCAAATAGACCAACCTACCAAAATGGGGGCCTATTGACAAGAGACGAGAAGAAGAAAAAATTTAGATACAGAAGAAAAATGCGATGGTCTGTTTTGGCTTAGAGCAAAACGGCATATGTTCATCGTTGAATTTTTGCCGATAACACATTTTCGGGGGGGAATGATGTGCACGCTTTTTCTTCCTTGGCTGATTTCCTATTTTACAACAAAAAAGCTGTTTAAATCGCCGTTATGATTAGTGAAATTTACTTCCGGATATTTTCATAAATAACTCAATTCCATTTTTTCTCTCTTTTTCTTTGTTCGTTCACAATCTCTTCTTGTTCTGGATTTTCTCCAATCCAATTTTTCGTGACCAACCAAAAAAAAAAAACGAACAGGTATGATACGGTAACGCTGCTGTTTTCTGGTATCGTTGGTTTTGCCCAGTACTGTGCAGCTAATACAGACGCAGAAGGTGCTATGAAAATTGTGAAAATGTTAAATGAACTGTATACAATATTCGATGCATTGTGTGACACAAAGCGAATACCAAACATCTACAAAGTAAGTATAAGATGGTTATGAGTGAAAATGAAGACAAAGATGAAAGAAGAAGACGAAAAAAATGCTCACGGATGATATTAAAATTTAGTAAAAGTAGTAAATAAATGGGAAAAGCAGGTGGTTTGGCACAAAGACACGACACCATAAGACTAAAAACAAGATGACACCAATAGAGCGTATCCTCTTGGTCTGAGCTGCTTAAGCGTGAGACGAAGAAAAGGTGGAGATGACAAAGAAGAAGAAGAAAAAAACACACCAACCAAATAAGAAATGACCAGAGAATAACCTCGATTTTCATGCTAGCTCATTTATAAACGAGTAATTTTTTGTCGTTGTTATTTTGTTGTTGCTGTTTTGGTCTTTTTCGATTTCACCCCATTTTTTCGCTCCATTTTTTTGCTTTCGTTGGTTTTGTTTGATTTTAGTACATCTTCCGATTTACTTTGTTGGATACAACAACGATTGCATTGATGCTCTCACTCTCTCTCTCCCTCTCTCTCTCTCTCTCTCTCTCTCTCTTTGTCTCTCTTCCTCTCGATAGGTCGAAACTGTAGGTGATAAATATATGGCGGTATCAGGGCTACCCGAAGCATGTGAAAACCATGCCAAATGGATAGCAAAACTGGCCTTAGATATGATGGACATGGCAAAATATGTTCAAATGGGTACCGAACCGGTGGTAAGTCAAACAGAACCAGAATAACTATATACACACTTACACTCTCTACATCGCTCGCATGCTTCTTTATTTACCTTTTTCCGACTTCTTTGTGCCTTATTTTGGTTGATATTTTTCTGGTAGACATTCTTTTTTTTTCGATGAACATGTTTGGCACGAATATTGGCATATGTTTGAATTGCGCGGTATTCATATTGTGTTCGATAAATATTGATCCCAAGATCGAAGTTGCGACAGCTTAGAAAACGAGCAGAAACCTTGGTTTATTTGAGAATGAAAAGAAAAAGTAGAAAAATACAAGAAATACAAAAATATTGAGATGGAATGAAAAAAGTGCTGCCGCATAAAAGAACATTTAAAGGCCGGAAAGTCGATGTTGTGTAGTGTGTGTAAAGACTGAAAAAAAGGTATTTGTAACAATACATATGTTCAGAAAATATATTGAATTTCTCTATTTGTGCACGTACACATCTTCATTCCGGATTCTTTGATGTCGTATTTAAGTCGCAGAAATACTATATATACATATATCCATAGAGTTTTCATTCGGTCTGCATTGAGAGCACAATAAGTAAGCCATGAAATTGCTGAACGAGAAGCTTCTGATTCTGTTCGAATATTTTCACGAAAATGACACCTGATGACACACACACACACACACAGATACCCATACAATGAAGCCAAATGTTTCGTTCTTCAGCCAACGTTGACCAAATGTACATTTCGTGTGCGAGTGAGTGTGTCACGAACCGACTGGCAGACAGACAATTCAAGTGAAAACGAGCATTGCTTTAAGCACTCCCAGACGTCATTTGAAAACGTATAAGTATGGTGTTGTCATGCCGAGGACGACATGAAAATCTCAAGCGCATTCAAGGTTCTATGTATATCGTGAACGTTCAGTGCAACGCATCGCAATAATTGAATTTATATAAATTACGTGTCTTTTGGAGAGACACGATTTTATCGAGTGAACGAGATGAAAAAAAAAGCCACTCATTTTATTTTTCAATATTAAAAAGCACTCAAACAATATATGCATTTATTTTAAGTAAATTTCGTGAACAATAATCATTTCAATTGGCTTTTAAACACACGAATATCGAAAAAAATTGGGTAAAGCCTTTTCATGTTGTGCGCAATTTTCGCAAATTTTTTCTTTCAAATGCGCGTCATCGTCGTCGTTGTCTCTTTGTAGCTTATGAATATTCGATTGGGATAAAATATGACTGATTAAATTAAGTTGGTTGCAACTGCTCTTTGTCGTTGATGACTTCAAAAAAAAAATTCATCGTTTAGTTGTTCGTACGTATGCATGCAAAAAAAACATAATAATTTCGCATTCGAAAGAGTTCTTGAAAATGAGTTTTGTGGCCGGATTCTCCATTTTGATTCGTCGCGGAAATTAAACAAATACATGTACATCACAATGCAAATGGAATGCCATGGCCCGAATGCAGCAACGGTCCGCAAAGAGAGAGGCGGTGCGTCATTGTCATTTTCATACTTAGTGTGATTTACTTCGGCGCTCGTATTTACCACGAAATTCAATTTTCTCATCATCACGAACGGGGCAAACACACAGAGACAGAAAAAAATGAATCTGGGGCATCATGGGAGAGAGACTGAGCTCTGAAAGAAAAAAAATTTATATTAAAATGCTGCGTTGAAAAATGCAGGGGAAAAGGCAAAATTTACTAATGTAATAAGAGTAATATTTCTCTTTCTTGAGGATTAAAGCATTCGGAAAATTGAATCGAACCATTTTTCATTCAAATAATTTTGCTGCGATTCTTCGTAATGCTGTCGCACTTTGGCTGTCGTCATTGTCGCCGTCGTGGTCGTCGCCCACGTCGAAAACTGCGATGAAATTGTGAGAGAGAGAGAGAGAGAGAGAGAAAAGTAGAAAAGTATCACAAAAATACATTCATAAAATGAAAGGACGGTGTTTCACTTCGATATTGCAATATCTCTCATCTACGTGTTCAATCTTTTGCCATTGAGTCGATTCAGCCGCCGCGGTGGCTCGCTGAGTTTCTTCGAGAGACTGTCAGTTAATTTAATTTTTAAATATCCCAACACAACTTTCTTTGACTTAATTCGATTAAATGAAACTTGATGACATTTTCTGCGCTATAATTTTTTCTGCATTAGTCGCTATAGGAGCGCGCGCTTTCGGACGGAAAGTGTTGCTTTTGTGAAACTGACACGTTGACTAAATTCAAAAGAAAGTAAGTTGGAGGAAAAACGACAGCTTAAAAATTCTTATCGTTACTGCACAAATATGTTGTCGAAATAATTGCTACAACGACGATGACAAAGTGTCATCGAACCAGTTTTGTTCGTAGTCGGAATTTTCGGGTTGGATGGTGTTAGCACTTTCAATAGTTTCGCTTTCAATTTCCGAATTTTTTTTTCATTCGATTTAACACACATACCTACACACTGTTATGCTGCTCTTCTTTTTTTCTCCGTTCGAATCGTTTCGTGCACATCCCGAAAATTCTGCCCCGTTCGAAGCGCTTACCAATGAGAGCGCTGAAGCGTTGAAAAGCAATTATATTTCGATTCGCATTCACTACGCTATACGTGATCCATTGAGCATCAATTACGTAAATTAATCAAACACATTGCTTAAATTGACATCATTTATTCCATCTACATTCCACATTCTTTGTGCAATCCATCCGAACTCAATGATCATTTGCATGAGTGTGTAGATGTGTGCACTGGATCTGTGTTTCCTACTTTTGCTGCCGAAACAGCAACGAGCTGAGAGTCGAACAATAAGAATAGCGCCGAAAGTGAAGAGAGTCGAGGGAAAAATTGAAATGACATGATGCCATGCTACAATATGTTAGCAGCAAATTACGCCAGAAACATTTCAATAGATCTTTTTGATTTTGAAAATCCATCCTATTTTCGATTGAACATTTTATTTTGCATGAATATTCCACATCATTCGCATATTCCTATTCTCTTTTTTCATCATTTCTAGTCAAAAAAGAAGTGACGCAATCAAAGTACGACAATTTTTTGAGATATTTTATATTGTATTTCTTTTATTTTCATCCGTTATTTCTTTGTCGTTTTCAATTTTACGCATAGAAAATCACGATTGGTATACATTCGGGAGAAGTTGTGACAGGTGTTATTGGAAATCGAATGCCACGGTATTGTCTGTTCGGGAACACGGTGAATTTGACAAGTCGAACGGAAACAACTGGCGCACCCGGTAGAATTAACGTGAGCGAGGACACGTACAAGTAAGTTGTCCATTTGTAAGCATTTTATATATATATATATATATATAACGAGGGTTTCGGGGCTGGTAGGCTTTGCTCTTTATTAATGAGAAAGCCAGTAGTATCATAGGCTGTTTGTTGCACGCTGCTTATTCCCTCAGCCGTTTTGAGCGGTTGACATTTCGAGCAATTGCTAAAACCGTCATACGGGATTGCGTCTACCAGAAATAATTAGACTACGAATAAAACAAAGGACAGCAGTTTAGTTACGGTAACAGAGGCAGAAGAAAGGGAAGACCATAGTAACAACAACAAAAGTCGAAATTGCGCTCAAAAGTCAATTACATGTCAGGGGGAAGGAATATGTATTGAGGCAACAAAGCAGCAGTAGCAGCGACATCAGCAGCAGGGAAAAGTCAAAAGAAGAGAAAGAGACACATACACACATGCACATACACAAGAATAAAACCAACGAGGAATAACAGCGATCGGGCAAAACCTAAGGAAAATAATCATAAGGAATTAGAACAAACGACAAAACTGGAACATATACTTTCGCTTTGGTTTCATTTGCGAGTTGGTAACGCGTGTACAAATGGGAGGAAGCGCTTTCTCTCTCTCTCTCTCTCTCTCTCTCTCTCTCTCTCTCTCTCTCTGTGTGTGTGTGTGTGTGTGTGTGGCGCAACGTAATCGACAATCAAAATTCTTCCTTTTCCTAGTACAATCATGATCCATGGTGTTTTTCAGCAAGTCTACAAGTTTTATCTGACACAGTTTGCTTTTATTTTTTCCGTGCTCGTTTTAATTTTCTGTTGAATCTTGGGTATGAAGTTTTTTTCCCATTCTCTCTCTCTCCCTCTCTCTCTTCGTATATGCTTTACATCATTGTTTCGATGCCAAGTGTTTGAATTTCTATAGCATGTTTTAAGCACTTTTATGCTGCACGTTCACTTCGAAAAAGACAAGCGTCCAGCGCCCGTATAACCGTTCAATCAGGCGAACGGAAATGATTTCATTGTTTATGTGTTGCGTCACATGACTATTTTACACAGAAAGAGGATGTTTTTAACATTGACTGCAAAATGTACGACCGTTAGCAGTGTGTATGTTTACTGAATGGAATCGCTTTCAAACGAAAAATGAAGAAAAACAGCAACCAAAAACATGGATCGAATGAAAGAGGCTCTGGATCGTCGTCGTCGTACACAGGAAATGAGTGAACGAAAAGTGTATGTGAGAGAGAAAAAGGAAGAAGCATAGGACAATGTAAATGTAATGTGCATATAAACACCCATAAAATACATAAAGTTTTTTTCTTCTTCCATCATCATCGAAACAACTTTGGAGGATCTTCCTTGTGAAATGGATGAAATTTTTTTTTTGTATCCATACACACACAACAGTTCAATTCGTTGTGTCTCGATCCGTTCTTCCCTTTGGCCTTGCTCATTCTTGTCAACTTGTTCTCGCTATCGTAAATAATAAATGCAACAGCCCGATGCTAAATGCGTGGGATGACAAAGTTAACACAATTTGCTTGAGCGAAATGACCAACGTTAAAGCTCAAAGCCATTTGTGCATGAAGGCGTCAACGAAAAATTTTCCCTCATTTATGAATCGAAATGGTTGTGCACATACACACACAATCTCTTTATCTCAATCGCGACGGTGGTGGTCGCTGCACGACCACAACCGGGACACAGAATGAGACACACACACACACACAGAGAGAGAGAGAGAGAGAGAGAGAGAGAGAGAGAGAGAGAGAGAGAGAGAGCGGGAGAGAAAGAATACCGTTTCTCGGATGCGTTGCCCTAGGAAATATTTCAAGCAAAATAAACGCAAAAAGTTTTTTAACATTGTAAATTTTTAATAAAACGCACTTGAAAAGCTTCGCTATATTTTCTCTGTGTGGCAGCCGCTAGCTAAATTACAATGAGAAGAAAATTCATCTATTTATTTGTTGCGTCGTTGGTTCATACTGCGTTTGGTCTTTTAGACTTGATCCCTCTCGTTCTTGCTCCCTCTCATTTTCCAACTCTCCTTGGCTCAACTTGTTTGCTCTGTTCAAAACTTTTTAAATAGACAAAACTTTTGAATTGAAACGAATGAATGAACGATTGATTTCCTTTCGACTGAAAATCACATCGAATTCAAGTCAAACCAAGCTCCACTGATGAATTGGTTGTATTCAATCAATTATTCCATGACGCACATAAACACACACACACACACACAGTCAAACCAACAGTTGTTTATATGTTGTAACTCGCGGCCAAATCACCACTTAACTACACTGCAGAGAATTTCTACGTATGGATATCGAGGCGTGAGAAAAAAATCATCAACTCCCATGGGGAAAATATTTGTTGAAAAGAAACACAGCACAGAGAAAAAAAATCAAAATATCTAAAGTGGCCATTAAAATAATGCGTTTGCCATTCCGAACGTTTCGTTCAACATTTGCATACCTAATGATGATACCGTTAAGTCAATAGTTGTTTTCCTTTGACTTAACCTCAAATCAAAACACACCGAACCAACTAGCCAATATTGGCCTGGTAATAAATCTGTTTTTCTTCATTCACCACAATGTCAAGTGTCAAGCTTCCACACACTGCTTTGCGCGGTACGCACCTTAACATATTCACACGCACGTGGTGGATATTGCAATTAAAAATGTGATCTCTTGCTCGCGATGAGAGGCATGAGAATACCAAAACGAAATTGCGTTTTATTTCAGGGATGGAGCATCATAGTGCAAAGCCCAATCAAAATAAACTTGTGCGAATGCTTCGACTTGTTCAACTTATAGGTATTTAATTTATTTACATAACAGCCGTTTGCATGCGAATGCCAAGCTGACACGTTTTACAAAATTAGTGTGATATTCGGCATCGGCACATTGGCTCAATGAAATGTTGGGTTCGCAGCTCGTACAGAGTGGCAAATGTGCAGCCGCCATAATGGTCGCAATAACCGTAAAATACTCTTAAGAAAAGGTTCCGTTGAAGATTAACGTAAAGATGACTTTCTCTCTCTCGCTCGCGTGTGCGCGTACTCAAATTCATAACATTAATATTGAGTCCGTTACCGTCGTCGTCGTCGTCGTCGTCGTCGCACTCTTCGTTTAGTCGCCGGAAAATTGTAATTTGTTTGAAAAGTGAATTCATAAACAGATCTTGTCTTCCGTTCATTTTTCCATGATTGCTCAGTAATCATGAGACGCGGCGAATGGAATAACTCCGTTTTCGGCCGGGGTCATACCCGTGTCACAGGCATACACGAAAAGAAAAATTACTTGTCACCCATTTGCCTGGCTTTGCCATTTCACATTCGGCGAAAATATGAATGTTGATTGGGCGAATAACGTCGCCCTCCGTCGTAGATTAGATCAATTTCAAATCATAATAATGTACGCTAAAACCGAAGAAAAATAGAAGGAACGAATCAGAAAAAATAACTTCGAACTGGCATAATGGCTATTTTGAAGCGAAACATAAAGTAGACGTGCGGCTGTGTCGTGTCGATAAATTTAATTCTATCAGCACGTTTTTTTCTGTTCATAATTTTTTTTTTCTTTCTCTGAAGCAACCGAAATGTGTACAAAGTATTAAAAAGTTAAATTAACTCGCGCGTTGGCTTGACATTCGCTGGATCGAAATGAAGAGGAAAAGAAAAATTAATAGAATAATAAAGAAAAGACGCATTCATTTTTTTTTGTGTGTGCCCAATGATTTGTAACAGCGCCATTTGCATAAATTGAGTCACAATTAAAACAAGGGTCAATTGGTTTTTCGCTGTGATGTGAAATGAAAAATCTCGATTTGTTCAGCACGGTAAAATGTGTATATAGGCATATTTCTTTTGATAACATTCCATTTTCTTCATTTCTTTCATTATTTTCACTCGGTGTATATGTATATATTTCGTTTTTTTTTTGTTTGGTGTGTAAAAAAAGTAGGCTCTGCGGGAAATGTTGTGTTCAAGCTGTGTGTCCAACCTGACCGATGCCATTTTCTCATTTCCCTTTTCTGCTTCAATCGTTTCACTTGGATGACCGGTGATGTCTGGTACAAAGTGTTTTTCTTCACTCCATTTTCCAAGACGTATACGCACAGGGACAGGAACAGAACAAACTTTGTGAAATTGGACCACATTGCCGCCGTTAATCCATTAAATCGATGTAACATTTTAAACTTTTTGGCACTTTTAACATATTAATTCCAGATGGCAATTGATAATTGGCTCGCAAATTCTCACGAATCGTGCATCTACAACAAAAGAACAGAAGAAGAGAATAGAAAGAAGAGAAAATGAAAATTGAGCAACGAGACGATATGAGAGTGACTATAGCAAAATATGAAAGAAAACATGAAAGCAAATGGATACGTGCTTTGAATTTGAATTTTAAACTATACTGTGCTTGTTACGTTACGAAAGGTTAGGATGGATAGAGGGGTTTCCAGAGTGGGAGGCATCCGACTGAAGTGGTGAGCGTGTATAAGCTTAAGCACTGAAATATGCTTATTGTACAGAAAAGAAAATCATTAAGCATGATTAATGTTGTTAACAGTTAACAGAGGCGACTTCGGTGCCACACCATCATTTCCCATGCAGTGATTTCACTGCGATGAAATTTTCGGATTTTGGCCAAAAGTGAAAGCGAGCAGAAAAATTGCGACCACACACCGACTGCACATCATTTTCACTCATTCAAAACATAAATTCCAACCGCTTTTGATAATCTGTTGATCATTCATTCTCACTTGGCGCGCGCGCGCTCGTGCATGTGTGTGTATGTGTGCCTGTTAACCCGGCAAATTTTCAGCATGTTAATATAAATAAACTATGTCATAACAATGTTCATGTTTTGTTCATGCTAAATGGAGAAGAATCGTCTTCAAAAGAAAACGATGACACAAATAAATGGAATCACTCATAAATTCACTTTCAGTGTCACCGGTGTGGTACGACGACAATAAACACGGAAAATAAGAATGAGAAAAATATGAAAGCAGCACAAGCAAAACCCTGACTCTCACACTGACAATTTTAATAATCTTCTTTACGGTTAAGACGACGAAGGTTATGTAGCCAGATGTATTACATATGCTTCTTGACTCTGGATTTCATCATGCATACAAAAAGAGTGACAACGCGGCACTCATATATACGAATCGCTAACCCTTACGCATATTTCACAAAATGCGAAAGCGCTTTCACTCTGAATGGGCGAGAAAGAAAGGGAAGTCCCTCTCAGTCAGAAGTGTATGCGAACGCACCAGATTTATTTTTAAGCATTTATCAAACAAACCATCGAGAGCGTTGGTCCAGAATTCCAAATTGGAAATGCGCACATAAATCACATTGTACGAAGTAATCCGACATAAATGTCCTCAGTGGCTATAAAGTTTCTAATAGAATGTGCAATTCATACATTTATTTCTTTCTCTCTCCCTCTCTCTCTGTGAGTTGTGTGCGCTCCAATGTTGGATTTTTCTGTGTTCATCCATTGAACAGTTTTTGGTTTGTGTTCAAGTGGAACATTGCCATGGGAAAATGAGAAACAGTTTTAGTTGCACTCGAGGCAGAGTCAAAATGAATGAGGGAGGAAAAATTGGGGGAAACAGAGAGAAATGCGAAAAAGAAAGGCAGATCAAGAGAGAGAGAGAGAGAGAGAGAGAGAGAGAGAGAGAGAGAGAAGGAGAGAGAGAGAGAGAGAGGGAGAAAGCAATTGTAGGGAGAGAAAAAGTGTATGGTAGAATTATGACGAGTGCTGGAACTTGAAGATAAAGTGCATGGCACATGCTCTTGTACAAGGTCCAACTTATATCGCTCCGTTAGATGATGCATATGAAAAATGAAATGCAAATGTCTATTAATCTAGTGATGAAATACAGCGTGTGAGCGCGCGTTCTCTCTCTCTCTCTCTCTCTCGAGCAGTGATTCATTCGATTGGGTTTTATGTTGCAACATTGAATGAATTTGTTGAGATGGATCTACTATGGCTTTGTCGTCGCCATACAAATCAATAACTCATACATGAATTGCCGGAAATGAATATGGAGATTAGATTTTAGCAAGCGTTAACCTCTCTCTCTCTGTCACTCACTCATTTGCTATGGTCACAATGCCCGATGACAACACCTTAAACGCATTACTTTCATCCAATAATTCATCTGTCACATTTACAGCGTTTTATCAGTCGCATTTGCCCTCTTCGTTTAGTTCTCCAGTTTATTTTTTTTCTTCTTTATTTTCGACAATGATGCAAATTTCGACAGAGGTTAATGGCTGCGTAAATTTTATTCGCATCTCTTTTTATGCTTTGTGATTCAAATGTGATGTTGTTACTATAGCAATGACCGATTGAGTTCTTATCCAGCGCGCGCCCGTGCACACACACACAGGCAAAAAAAGGACCGTTCGATGTTGTCATAGCATCGACGAGAGAAAAAAAAGGAAAACCAGGTAGACAATATGGTGTGTGTGGTTCCTATGTTACGAAACTTTTAAATTCATATGAGAACTCAGCGAGATGAGCTGATAAAAAGATAACAAAAGAAAAGGCTCAAACTACGTCAATAATATTTTGCTGCAATTTGACGAAAATTTAATAAATAATCGGGCATAATATGTGACACAGGGAGAGAATGATGCGCAGGGTAGCAGATAAAAACAAGTATATAAAACGGTATCAATAATTCGATCAACAAGTTACTTTTGTGCACAAATGACGGGTCGACTCGATCCAATCCAAACAATGTGTATGTATTGAGGTACGTGTATACACATCTTTTTGGCTTCAGCCAATTTATCGGTTTTAGGTTTGCCGTGAAGGTGTATCGATGCTGTGTGTATGTGCGGTGTGCACACAACACAAGCAGCAGCAACAGCATCAACATGTGCTTTATGGTCTCTGAAGAGCTCTGTGTATTAATTTTAAGTTTAAATAAAATTCTTTGTTGCCAATTTTGTGGGTTCACTTGAGTTGAGCATAAATACGTTATACGTTGCTTTCAATCGAATATGACGGAAGAGAAGTGAATCGACCACCGTTTCACATTATTCTGGTGGAAAATTTTTGAACTTGATATGTGCGCAGCGCAGCACATTAGTGCGGTTATTTCAATTGATCAGGTGAAAATGTTTGACTTTCATTGCTTTTCCTCTCGTCGCCTGCTCTCCATTTCCTCACACAAAAAGCGTTCACATCGTCGAGTACACCTGAACGGAATTAGGAATTCTAGCTATTATTGACATATTATTGAATGGAATGGTGCATTCAATCGATGCTCAATTCATGCAAGCTTATAATTTGCTTTTGCGGAGGAAGAAAGTGCTTGCACAAAATGTATACACAATTTTCGGTAGCATTTGCATTGAACGAGCAAAAGAGCATGATCCCAATGCTCAAGGGCGCTCAATATTTTCCTTCTAACTAATTTAAATTGCAATTTCAACGTATCCTCTTTATTCAATGGCCAGTGAGAGAGAAATAGAGAGAGAGAGAGAGAGAGAGAGAGAGAGAGTTAAGTTTTGTTTGCGAATTTCAGGCTAAAAACCCATTGTGCATTCCAAAAATTGAGCATCACCGGCAACAAACAACCCATGCATGCTGCTGCTCTTACTACTACTACTACTACTGTTGTCCATTAGAGAATTCTTTACCTCAATTTATTAAAACAATTTTGAAACACTAAAAACACATACACACAAAGGATAGATAGCACAAACGAAGAGCAAAATATCATAACGTTTATCACATGGTGAATCGGTTTTCTTTCGCCAGCCATTTATCGTACTTCGCACATCGACCGTTGCTACGTTGCATTTGTTTATTCTGGCTCTTAGATTTCAACGAGATTCTATGTGCGATTCATTGGCAAATGTGTCTGTTCATATTGAAGTTTGTTCGTTTCCATTCGTTGGTTCAATTAAACTATGTGTTTTTGCCGTTAGCATCAACAGAAATGCATATAAAACGAATCAAATCGACGCGTATGCCCTCTAAATGAGCAAAGACACAAAAAAGTTGCCGTACATATATTGAGCGGACACTATCGACGGGTTTATTCGTGTGCGTGGAATTGTGTAAATGACTGTATTCATGTTCATTATGTGTACGATGACACCTTCAAGTAGTCTATGTGTAGATGGCGTCTTCAGCTCAAACGTTAAATCTCTCAAATTTAAATGAGAATAATGCAAGGTTGGCATTATACTCTTTTGTCGACAAGCACTCGACAAACGAATGAGAAGCACATAAGCGATTTTGTTATCGCGGTAATTTCATATCAGTGAGCTTTTTTTCGCTTTTGTCTTTTTTCAATGTACACAATATGGATAATTGCCGAAATGAAAATATTATTCTATTTTCACATTGTTATTTGTTCTTCATCACGAGAAATTTACGCTCGGAACGCGGAGTGAATGACATTTAACGAAATTTCAAAGATTAAAAGTTACAATGTAGAAAATAAATATCAGAAATTGTTTTACTTTCATGTGCGCTGTGTTTGGTAACTGTTCCGTTGGTTCGGCTATTGTTGCACACATATATACTTTTGGTTGCTTTCGTTTGGCCAAGTGTCTATCCAAAATTTATGAATCCCAGTGCAGACATCAAAAAGAATGGAAATGCTCACAAATTCGCATATTGTGTGCCGTGTGTGTGTGTGAAGTGGCGTAGGACGAAGAGCAAGAGCGAAAAAGAAAAGAAATTCAGATATGTGTTTATGTGGCTTTAATATACCTTTATGCTTTGCACCACATGGATTGCCCACATTTATTCAAACACAGAGCAACAGCAGGAGAGAGGGACAGAGAGAAGAAGAAAAAGAGCGCAAAAAACGACACTAGATGGAAAAATAAAACTCACAAATCCATATATATGTATACTGTAATATAAACAAACACACACACACAAACAAACACTCGTTCAAAAGAATAGAAAAGAAAACAGTAGAACAAATAATACACGAATGAACGCAACTTTAGCTGGTGTTCAAACAAAAGCACTCGATGTGAAATAAAATCGAATGAAAAGAGAGGGGAAAAAACAAGAAAATGTGAACAACCAAAATGGTTTCAATGTGATGGCAAAAATCTATCACACAGATTGTTTGCAGCGATGCGAGGCCTTCATTCATTGTGTGCTATTTTGACGTGGTTACAAACCGATGCCACCCGAAAATTTATTCATCAAACCATCCGAAAATGTGTGAGAAGTCAGTAGCCGAAAAAAAAGGCTAGACATGGCAGACTTGGC